TTTTTTCCACTGCGGATTCTGTCTCCATTTATTTCTCATGTATGCACTATTCATCCTGACTCCATTTACTTATCTAAATACATTGTGTGCTTACTAATATAGACAGCATGTTCCCTTTTTCTTAGCTCGAGAAGGAAAGCTTCATGCAATTCTTTGCCAGTCTAAATTATTCCATGACTTGCCTACATTTCAAATCAACTGGAGGACTATCAACAAACATGATGGCAATTCTTTTCCAATCCCATCTCCTTCAGTCAGTCTTTAACCCACTTATCAGACACTTGTTATTACAGAAATAATCAGGAGAGGAAAATACACCACTGCTGAATCAACACTACTGTACTTCATTTCCCTTTTTTTTCCTTCTTTTGTACTCATGTAACTTCTTGGTTTCTGTTGGACATACACCAGCCTGAAACAGTAGAAACACAGCTGGCTAAATCCATCACATCTTATTACAGGTTATCAATTCTCCCATGCAATAAACACGTTTGACAATTAGCAGTGAATTGATGAGTGACTCAGTTTGGGCTTTGCCATATAGAGGAGACTCTTTCTTCACTGGTTTGTGATTAACAGAAAAGCTCACAATACAAGCTCAATCTTGTAGCAAATGCAAAAAGCTGGTAAAACCATTACCTTTCCTTATAACTAAAATGACAAATGGTCTTTACATTAATCTCAAATAACTTCTTTAAAGCAGGGATCAGGAAAGAATTTTCCTCGAAAGGATATTGCTGCCCAAGTGGGGAGGTGCTTTCATGGGGCTTTCTCACCTTCTGTGGGATCCATAGGCTTGATAAAGCCATTGTTCTGATTTGCTTTGATGATTCTTCTGCTTCTACAAGAGGTCAAATACTGCAAACTCTGCACAAACAGCAGACCAAACCACACCGTGACTCACCCCATACAGTAAACCTGTTAGGAGTAATGCTGCAATAACTCAGATTTAACTTGTTCAGTCCCATCTTACTGCAATTAAACTGGGATATTTGACCAGCTGGCTTTGTGCAATTTCAGCTCTTTATTTGAGGGAAAAATCTGCCTGTGCCAAACACCATATCAATGCTCTGTAAAGCCTTAAAATAAGCACGGAAAGAGGTTTTTGAGGAACCTGTTCCTTCCCTCTCTGCTCCCCAGGGACAGAGTTTTCCTAAGTGTGCTATCAGGTACCAGATCCCTGCAGCATTCCTCCCATTAGACTTTATAGAGAGATGCATCAGCCTTGCTGTCTAAAATGGACATTTATCAGGAAAAACACAAGGTATGCTCAGTGTAGTCTCAGAGCAGCACCCGGTCAGCTTTGATCTCTTCAATGTGCAAATAAAATGGGGCTGGTAAGGGAATGAAATCTCTTTCCTTTTCAATTGCTGCGTACATTAATGTGTTCTTGATCCCAAAATGATTCTCATTTGCTCACTGTAATCACAGTACTTCAGTTTTTCTCTTTGTTTGCATGTGTTTTGCTTGTTTGGGTGGTTTTCGTGGGTAATTTTTGTAATCAAGAATTTTTTCTATTCATGCAACATAAATATTTTCCTATTGACAAACTTGTCCTAACTTTGCTTTATAAGTGCATTTTTTCCTTCACTTAGTTTCCCCTACCCTGTGCAGAGATTTGCTCTGGCAGTGGAAATGAAGGGTGCCAAGGTGATGCCAAGGAAAGTAAAGATCAAACAGAGTAGTATAGGTCTAAGCAGCCCCATGAAAATGCCCCAGGCACATCCATTAGTGAGCAAAAGAGTTTTGTTTGGCAAACCCAAAAATCCCCCAAAACAAGTGGATTAGGGTTGAGGCTGGCTTTTTGGGTGGGTTTTTCCTGCCTTTACTCACTTTTTGGAAGAGGTGCAGCTTAAGGCATTACAGTGATTTGCTGTTCACTGTATAACTGAGTGAGCTGCCGGATTAGTAATGCTGGTGCACCTCCTCGGTGGGCACAGAAGGTCATGTCTCATTGTGAAATACAGGATGGTGCTTTAGGATGTTGCTGTTAGAGGTGTTAAGAACTCACTGCCTCTGCTAATCAGTGCTGCATGCAAAGCCATGTGCTGACTCCTGAGACTTCAAGATGCATTTCACACTCTAAGCATAAGATGCTGAACCCCTTGTTCCTGTGGTTAATGAGTTACTTATCCACATGAGTGTGTGTAAGCATGGTCCGTGGTTAGTGCAAGGTAATGTTGTTCAGTACACAGTGAGACAGGCTTAAAACAAGATGTCTTGGTTTGCATTTGCCACAGATGTAGAAAACAAAGAAAAAGCACATATGGAGATTTCCTACAGCTCAGCTGGTGTATGGTAACTTGTTAAATCTCAGTAACTTGAAATCTCTTCCTGGCAATCGAAATACAGCTCTCAGTGCTTTAGCAGAATACAATGGCACTTCATAACAGTGATATTCCATAAAAGAATATGTCCAGGTTATATCATACAGGAAGTACGTAGGATGTAACAAAGAGTAGTGGGTGAAAAGCAGAGGTTCCCAAATCAATCTGTGTTGGGAAAATCATCCGCGGGTTCCAATAACTGTGTCAGCTGCATCGCTTGGGCTGCTTTTGTGTGCAGAATCATGCAGGAAATCCCAACAAAGCAGTTTCTCGTAAGACTCCTGGTGCATCAGCCTGTGGCCGAGCCAGAAAGAAACCACAAAAACAATTGCTCTCCTCGCTGTGTGGCTACTACAAATCCCAGGTGGAACCTCAAAATGAAATGTGTGTGTGTGTGTGTGTCAAAACATCGCAGGGCTTTCCAAACCCTCTCTTTGGATGGAGCTGCAGACCCAAGCACATGATGAGGGTCAGAGAGTCGCTCTCTGCATTATACATTGTTCTCTCATCAGCTTGGCTTGAATTGACCCAGTGACTCCATTTGTTTAAGAGTATTTTAAAACGTTTCTTATACATCTCAGATTCGAGCACCCAGGATCATGTATCGCTTTGGAACATCTTTAAGGAAACTCGAGAGCTTTTATATACTGTACTGAACAATGGATCTATTTCTTCATTGTTGTTCTGAGATGCATTTCTGCTGAACCAGAAATGTATAAACAGTGAGAAAAATTGGCTCTAAAAGGTCTTTAAAGCTAATTTATTTTCAAGGCTTGCTTAAGGAGGGGGATTATTCTATTCTCACCTTTTAGAAAGCCATAGTAACAAAGGTAGATTAACAACAGTAACACAAGAGGCATACGTACGGGAAGAGATGTCCTAATCCTGTTTTTATTTTGGGGTGAATGTCATCCCTTTTGTGAAGTTTATGAACTACCCAAGTCCATTTTAAACCCTAGCCTGTAGTTTTAAGAACATGGAATAGTTCTCATCTTGCAGCAAAATATCTTAGAGAGAACAAGTAAAAATCCTAAAGCACTGGAGGAAAAACCAACAAGAGGAAAGAGCTATTTATGTCTTGGGGGAAGATATGAGTGGATGAAAAGTTGGGAAATAGCACCAGAATTACACAGGGTTAACAAATGCATTTACGCCAAGGATTCTTGTTGTCTTCCTCTCTGCAATATCCAGCAAACTGCTGGCACTACATGAAACCAGAAGTAAGACTGAGGCCGAAAGGACGAAGACTCTGCTGAAATTGAAGTCTTGTTAAATGTTTTCCAGGGTTTGTGAGAGCTATTTCCCTTCCACCTGCTGACCAAACAGGATAGCAGTAAAATACTTCCTCTTAATGACTCAGAAATCTGTCGGAGGTGATGAGGCCCAATGGGAGCTTGATGATGTCTTAAATAGCGATTTGCTTTTCGCCTCTTGGCAAGCGGTGTTCTCCACACTGGGTAACACAAGCTGCATTTCCAGGCTATGGAAATGGGAACCAAGGAATATCTGTTGTTGGTTGGTTTGCTCCCAGAAGGTGTCTGTCAGGCATCTACAGCTCAGTGTGATTTGAGACGTACAGAAAAAGAGGGGAAAAAGTCAGAAGCTCTCAGTGATGCACTACTTATTAGAGGCTGAAAATTACTCATTAAAGCTCATAGTCCCATATTACTGCTAAGAACATGGTCTCTCCTCTGCTGCATGGAATGAGGGCTTTATTTCAAAAGTTATTTTGGATTTTTCCATTTCATGGTATTGAAAGACAAGGGGTCCCCAGCCCTAGGAGCAGACATCTCCCTACAAATGGTCCAACACTGGCCTGTTGAAGTAATGTGCTCAAATCTATTTCCATAGGGCAAATCATGTGTTTCTATGGCCCATGCAATGCTGTCCTCAAGGTAGCTCTTTATCTATGCTGATTGCTCTCAAAGAACACTGCTCTCCTCCAGCTGACAGCCAGAAAACCAAGAGGCTCAAGCAAATCTCAGTTGGACTTTGTCTGGTTTTATTTCCCAGCCATAGAAGCAAGACAACAACGGAAGATTAAAGTGAATTATTATATGCTATGGGTTTCGGAAACATCCTTTTGCTTCCTTCCTAGGTCATGCACAGTCCTGTGGTTTGCAACTGCAGGCTCTGCTCCTGTTTTCAGTTGGTAGCTTTCCATTCACATCACACCGAGCTGCTTCTCCGAACGAAACGTGTTCCCCAGTGTGTTTGTAAGGGGAAATGATTAACTTAAACCATCTATAGAAGGCAACACTTCCTATTTAAAGACAAAGCTGAGTGGGAAAAATGGCTTTGGTGGTTTCAGATAAAATATGCTGCACTTTTTCCTAAAACTTTCTGGTGTTTTCCATGGAGAGCAGTTTCTGCAGGAGAAGATCTGCCACCTTGCTGAAAGTAATTGCTTTTCAAAGCGACCATATCCACTGCTTCTACACTTGAAATAAGCCCCTATGCAACCAATAGAAATATTGATTTCTGATAACTCCAACTTTGGTTGGAGTGCTAAATTAAAGCATAAACTGAAGATCTAGTAAATGAAAGAAACTGGATATTTAGCTACACAGCTATTAGCATTGGGTTTGTATTTTAACAGATGATCTAAACCCAAGGTGACACCCATGAAAGGTCAGGCTCAAAATGCTTTCTTTATGCTTTCTTTTGTTTCAGAAGCATGTTCAGGACTGAGCCATCTATTTGAAATGTCCTCCCAGCTCTCCACCCCTGCAGGAGATTTTAAACAAAGGTTAAAGAAGGAAAGAAACAGCATAAGCAAATTTCAAGGGACAAGATTAATCACTGCACATCGGTAGGTTTTTTCCCCCACTCTGCTAATAATCTACACTGAAATGTTTGTGCTGTGTTTTCACTGTACTGAAATGTGCCAGCAGACTCTCACTGAAGTGATCTAAAGGCATCTGAGCAGTTCTTAACTCACTGCGGGCTTCAGAAGCCAAATTAAACCAGTCCTTGCCCAACAGGGTCGCATTTGTTAGCAGATTTTACAGTGGAGATGCTGGCTTTCTTTTCCCAAGTCATCAGTTTGCCCGTTCCATAACACTTCCAGGAAGGGGGAGTTTTCTTCAGGCATCTGCCTTGTGGGATATTCAGGGAAAGGGCTCAAAATTCATAGCAGGAGGTTTCAAAGGCAGTGCCCTGACTTGGGGCACGTGGAAGTGAACATGATGTCTAGGGTGAAGCTGTTTGGGTCCATACGTGGAACAATCTGTCTCCCTATAAACAAGAAGAAATGTTTTCAGTTTGCAGATTCCCAGTTTACATAGCATGGAAGTAACAGGGGGAAAGAGGAAAATCTAATGAATTCATAACAGCCCAGCTGGGCACGGTATCCAGAGCTAAACCTGTCAGGCTCTGGACTGGGGAGGATGCTCGTTGGGAGAGCTGACAAGACTGCAGAACTATAGAGATTTACTGTATACCAAACTCATTCCTACGCTTGCTGAGCAAAGTTGCTGCCCCAGAGTAACTGCTCTCCAAAACATTTTCCATTGTGAATTCCAAGTCCTTTTTCTTGCCCAGATTCCACCATGACAAACAGCCCAAGGATTTACGTGCTGCTCACCTTGTGATGACTGCCTGATGTACAGGTTTTATGAAGACAAGAGTGAAGGAGTGCAGCCCCCCTTGGCAGTCACAGCAGAAGGAAACTGAGGATCAGCCCATCCTCTTCAAAACAGAGATGTCCAGGTCCTGGGAAAGAGGTGTTGCTTCGGCCCTTGGTCTGGAGGATCTGTTGTAAGAGTAGAGCAAGGACATGTTTTAGCTCAGGGCTAACAGTGACCAACCTCAAACTCACTAGATTTGGTTCAGGCACAATAAGAGGCATTTTCAGAAGTGTTACATCACTTCCTCGTGGTTGATACCAGACTTATAAAAGAGTAGATTTCAGGGAGGTTTGAAATTCTCATGCTCTTTTTATGTGCAGGTGCCCCAAATGAATGGCACCTATAGAAAAAACATTCACTCACTGTCAGTTCCTGATCTGCTGCTCAGCAGCCAGACCTGGCATGCCCGGAAGTCATCACTACCTTGCTGATGTAGATACTTAAAAGTGAAATTCATCTTGTCTGGCTTCAGGGTGTCTAAAAGCTACATGAGTAATTCTGGGCTCATGCCCTCCCTCCTTTTACACTCCTTGAAGAAAACCAGGCACCTCCACATTTCGCTCTGCCTGACTGTAGGCAAGGTCTGAGGGTGAGATGAACCTGTGCCTTGTCATAGGCTATAACCGGATCACAGATAATGAGCCCAGGCTGAGGTGTCAGTGGCCTATTTATAGGATTTCAATAGTAAATCAGGCAAATCATTTTGTCATAGCAATATAAATCCCAAAATAGCATCTCTGTACCGCTGCCCATCCCCATACCTCCCTTCTGCTGATAAAGATGGCATGGAAATGAGATGAGAGACAAACAACAGAGGCTTCTGTGATAAACAGGCCTTAAAAAGATTGCAAATGGAAAAGAAAGATGTGGCTGTATTAAAGATCACGGGATAAACGAGCCATGAGTGTAACAAGAGCTGAAAATGGGAGGCAGATACTAAGTTCAGGAGGGAAAAGGAATGTCCTTGCCTTGTGTGGGATACAGGGACCAGCCAGGATCTGGCCAGTGGAGCAGGTGCAGAGGAAGATGGGGGGCAAGCTAAAATAGCTTTGTTTAGGCTAGGAAAAGGAGGAAAAGGCTAGGAAAAGGATTGCCTTCTATAAATAGTCCAAGTAAGCCCCCAGGGAAGGGAGATAATTATTTAAGCTAAAAGACAATGTTGGCCCCAAATCAAACTGGTTGTGAGTAAATAGAGGGTGGAAACATGAAGGAGGTTTCTGAGCATCACAGGAAAGATGTTCTGAAGCAACTTTCCAGTCACAGCAGGAACCTGAGCACTTCTAAATCCGTCAGAGCAGGAAATTGATCTCGGTGCCAAGATATCTTCCAGATCTACATACACATTACTCATGCTTTATTTAATCTTTATTTTGCCAATGACAAATTTTTGCCTTGCCTTAGAAAATAAGACTGGACAAAAACTTCCCAGACTGTATGGTTGATAGGTTGATCGAAGGCAGGTTCATTCATACTGATGGGTGTTGGGCTGGCATCAGTCGGCACATCCACAAGTGACATCTACAGTGTTCTAGTCCTCCACTACCCTTATTATCGTAACAGCTTCTTAATATGTTGGGTATTTTCGCTCATTATCTTGCCTTATCTCTCTCTCTGCAGTTTATGTACATCATTAGGCTAATGGAACACTGCAAGAATGATGGGAAGTTTTGGCCTGCGAAAAAATGCCATTAAATCTCTTTAGGAGAAACCTCAGTCAACAAAAACTATGGAAACAAAACCAAACCAGGACTGGTGCCTGGGTTTGAATATGGCCACTCAGCAAACAGGGAAACTGAGGAAACTGGGGTCAAATTTCCTTCCTCTGTTTAGCCCTTTTACATAGCCTTATACAGAGAAATTTGATAGTGATAGAGGAAAACCCCACATTCCCATGGAAACTTTGGTGCACACTTTCCAGCAGCAGTGTATAAGAATGGACCAGAATGGTTCTTCTTTAGGGATTAGCCTCATACAATCCTTTGGCTTAGCTCTTAGTAAAAAACATATTCCAGCCCAATTTGCACACAGTTACTTTCTCAATGTCAGAGTTTTACCAAACTACTTTCTTTTTTTCCCCCCTTTATATCTGAGGCAAATAATTGTGCAAGACAGGCACTAGCTTTCTAAGGAGTGAATCCATTGGTCAAAAGGGTTTCCTTGCTGTATGGATGAGATTTCTACCGCTTGTCCCTAAAGCAAATAACTGATTGTATAAAAACTATTCAGATTTAAATAGGAATCCCTATAATGGAAGGAGAGATACAGAATGTTCTTTTTCTGTTCTCTTTCTGCTTCTGAAAAGATCAGATTCACGCTTACCTTCTAACGTAATCTACTCTAATCTCGAGTCATCCACCACTGAATTGACCAAAGTACAGGAAAGCAAGAAACCAGCTTTTTCACAGCTGAAAATGAGTCAACCGTGCACCTCAACCCTTTAAATGAAGTAAAAGCAAGGCTGAGATGGGGAAGGGAGTAAGGTTTTGTTAATAGAAGCAGGCTGTGACCCACGCTTACCTTGATGAATAGGAATAACCCTGTGCTCTGAACTAGATGGGTAAATACAACCTCTGCCAGGTACACCATCATCCACTTTCCTCATATATCATGTCTGAACTTTCATACCCCGTCGCACATCAGAGGGTGGTTATCGAAGGATGATGTACAACCTCTCTGCTTCGGAAATTGTCTATTTAATAGAAGCTCCTGCTGTGTCTCAACAGTTGCATTAGGAACCCTGTCTATCTCCCATGTTCTAAAAAAAGCCATTCGTGAAAGCAGGCGAGCACAAGAGCTGAGTAAACTTGGACACAGCTCCCAGCCAAATTATGAGCATGCTGCCAAACATGGAGAAAAGTGCATCTGATTCTTCTGCTAAGGCGTCCAAGGAGGGCCACAAAATTACAGTTGAAACTATAAACAGAATGAGTACATTTTGTTCATTTTCCTGTTCTCTTTGTAATCGATGCAATATGAAGAGCTGCTATCAGTAGAGTTATACAATCAGATGGTGGCAATAAAAGGAACGTTAGCAAGCCTAGGATGTCATAGGAGGTTGACTGAAGGAAGCAGTTATAAACCAAGACCATTTATATCTATTTAGATGAGAACACCAGTTTCGTGACAAAGTCATTTTGATGTCTGTCTGCCCACTTAATACTCAACTGATGGATGTCTGCATCCTGATCTACAGTGGTTGCCTGGAGAAGGATCAGCACCAAGGATTATACATGCACAGACACGTCTCTTTGTGCACCTTGAATAAGATGTGTGTTATATATAGTCACAACATATCCATGTATAAGTGAGTTCATCTGATGTACACAGTATTATGCATATGCACAACAGCATCATCATCGTCCTGTTTACTGTTTCCTCATTCTATTAGACTCATGGATGGTTTTTCTTATTGTCATGTTAACACAAACGGGACTGCAGGTTCACAGCCTCACAAATCTGTGGCGTGAGGAATACAGTGAGTATAAGACAGGCGTCTCCAGCAGCTGTCAGCAGGGAGCCTTTACTGGAGCATCTTTTGTTCTTTGGCATCTGAAAAGGTCCTGGTTCTCAGATGGTCTTCAGGCTTGTTTTCTTCTCTTACAGCCATTGCTCTGGTATCTGCAGAATGCACTTGGAAAAATCTAGGGACTATCAAAATGAGAGCTGTAAAGCTCTAAAAACAAACAGACATTTCACCTGTCTCTAATCAGCCCCATCTCATGGTTTGGCTTTGATTTCCCCAGTGCAGAAAAGAAACGTATAGGATTTTAATTTCCTTGGCTCCCAAGAGCAGTATGAATGAGACTGCAGCATCGCGTTCGGCTTGTGTTATTAATGGGCTCCATGCTTGCAAATGTCTCATTCAATATATTTGCTCAAAGTGCTTCCAAAAAAGGGGGAGAAAAAGAAGAAAGAAAACATCAGGTTTCTAGGTCTAATGTATGTGACCTGACAGCATGAATACATTAGATCTTCTACAGAAACATACAATTCCAGCACTGTGCATCGGATCTCTAGCCTTTTTATCTCCATCTGGACCCTAATCAGTGTGCTAGCATACTGCCTGGAAATAAGCCTTATTTTCCTGCCATTCTGGCTCAGACTTTCTCCCCATTTGAAAGGGTATGACATGCCTTCTTACAGTCACTGTAAGCTGGGAATGTTTCTGATCTCTTTGTTCAAGCATCCCGAGCATCTTCCGATACAAGTGTTTTCTTTTTTGCTGAGTTGCTTAGTCCCCTTATGCCAGATACTCTACAGGCACAAGGCAGCATGGCTCTGCTGAAGGCTGTATGCTCACGTCTCTCTGCTGAGGATCTCATGCATCATTTTCCAGTCCTAAAGAAGGTACAGTTCAATAATCCTAAATTGAGACCTAGGAGATCTCAGTCGTCTTCCAAAACTTCAAGCAAGCCATGGCATTTCCCCACTTCATGTCTGGTTTTTCCTTCCCATGCTCTGGCTTATCTGCAAGCCTTTAAGTTCTTAAAAGGAAGAGCTGGTTTATATTATGCATCTGGACAGTGTCTAACACAAGAGGGCCCCAGTTTGATTAGGGTCTCTTGTGACTACCGTAATGCAAATACTGCTAATAAAATGCATTTGAACCAGAAAAAAGGCAGTGATGCTTCTTTTCCAGTTAGCTCTTTCCTTGGGAAAGTCTGGGAGAGGTGGGATTCTCAGCCAGAGGCTGGGTGGCCCAACTTGACCCATCCTGGCATAGACAACCCTTTGAGCTGCCCTTGCAGTGTTGCAAACCAAACTGTGCTCACCTGTGCGATGCCTCCCTGTGCCTGGAGTGCTTTGCGCATCCAAATATGCCATATATTTGCCTTCCCAAAGCAGAGCCTGCTTCTGTTAACAGCAATTAATCACTTTATAGCCAGTCTTTTATTATTATGAACACAGCAGATGTGTTTCCATTAATAGGTCCCCAAGTGAGCCTTATCCAGCATCAGTGACACTTAATGAAGGAGATTATGTGGCCTAAATAGAGTTTTCATTTTCAGTGTCTTCCCA